GGCGCACGGAAGGGGAACAAACAGGGTATGCCTCTGGTAAATAACTCCCTAAAGGACTCTTAGAAAGGACTTACTGATTAATTGAATCAATCCATCATCCTTGGGATGACAGCATCAATTTGCAATCTTTTCTGGGAGTTGTTTTATTCCATTGCTGTTACCACTTAAATTCATATGAGGGTAGAATGAGAGGTTAAAAAATATACCTGTTTTATTATTAGGGTACCACAGTTCTGTGCTCTCATTATAGAAACAGCTTACATTGATTTTAATAATGGTTTAAAATGTCGGAACATCAACATGTGGCTTATACAAGGATTTTTCCTCTTTGAATTTATCTTACAGAAATCAGCTTTTAATACCCATCAAAATTTTAAGCTCATTTGCTTCTAAACTCTATAATGTTTAAGAATTTTTGAAAAATGATCTTCTTTATAATTCTGGGGAATATAAAAATATCTATCATTATCCCTTTTAGGAGGAACTCACCTTCATTTTCTTTGTGGTCACTGGCAGCCATAGCTTGTGATACTTGTGCAGATTTCAGTGGTTAATGAGACCCTTGAGTGTATTCTCTAGTTCGAGCTTTTGTTGAGTTAAAAGGAATAGAGTATATACATGTCGTGGAGATTTTGCTCTCATACCTATTAAAAATGATTGTTTTAAGACACTAGCATGTTTTAAATTGGACATAATATATCAATCACAGATTTTGTTCTTTCCTTTCTTGGGAGTGGGTGGAAGGTAGATGTAATACAATGAAAAGAGGATTGAACATGGATCCTAAGCAAAGATTCACATGTGAGGAGAATAATCTGGGCTTGATTTTTTATAATGTAAGGATTTTGATATCAAAGCTTCCTGAGTATAAGTGTTGATTGCCATAATTTTACCTAAGACTGATAAAATCTCTGAAGGAAGATTTTTCTTGAAAATCATAGGAAGTATTCAAGATGGAACAGCTTGAGTAATCTTAATCTCTCTAACATTAGCTATTCATAAATGTATTATGAAAGAAGTAGAAGGACTTCTAACCCTGAAACTGAACATACTTGGTTGACTAATATATAAGAACATATCATATATACATGTTAACATATGGGTACATGTTATTGATATTTAAGAGAACTCTAACATGTGGGTGAAAAGTGTTGCCTGCCACTTCAGTAAACAAAGGATGTTGCAGCCATCAAGCCAGCAGGCACTGCAGCCACCCCTGACTGTGCACAATGAGGGGATTCAGGATGGAGAGAAGCAGGACACTGGCCCCAGAGAGCTGAGGTGCACATCAAAGGAAGGATTTCAATGAGCCCTGACTCTTGCATCTTCCCATACACAGAAAAGTGCTAAATTCATTAACTTGAGAGGTCTGGTTTTCTTTAATTAATAGTAATCTTTTGATGCTTTGTATATCCCAGCTCCTCTATTACCTCTTCGGAGCAGTCCCTCAGAGCTGAGAGGCTGTCTTCCGGGCTCAAGTCCTCAGTTTTGTCTGCCAGATAAAACATAATTCTCAACTTTTAGGTTGTGCATTTTCCCCAGTAGACAAACATAAAAATGCATATTTAACATTAAAACTATACAGAACTTAATAAACTTAATACACAGTAATTCAGAAGCACTTTCTGGTCTTACACTGTCTTAGAGTCTTCCTTATCAGCGTTCATTGTGATTTACACAGTCCAGAGCCACTTGACAAATCCCAGTTGTCTGGGGTGTAGTGTATTCTATTCTAACCAGAGTACACATAGTAGAATTTGTTGTAGAATGGTGAGGTATTTGCATTTTCAGGATAAATGGCAATCTTGTGTAATCTCTTAACCTCTGTTGGCCTTAGTTTACTGTTTCTATAATGAATGAGTTTATATCTCAAGTTTGTTCTACAATGTGATCTATTTAAAATGTTTATTTCTGAGTTCAAATTGTCCACTTGTTATATAGTACAGTGGAATGTTGGATATTTGCTTCACTGTTTCAGAGATTATGTTTTTTAGTAGCTACCAGATGAAGATCTTGGTACCACCTGTTATTTACCAAATGCACATCTTATTTAGTGGAGAACTCCAGGCTAAGGAATCTTTTCTTTAGATCACGTGTAAATATATGGTCTTTTCTTAGGTTTGACCTATTAACTTTTGTCTCTTTTTATGCAACTGAGGTCTTGTGTGCACTTGCCCTCACAGTGGGAAGCAACATCCTGACAGTCATTCTTCGCTCCTTCAGTGAACCCACATCAGCATACTTTTCACACAGGGAACATAAGTGAAAACAAGCTTGATCATTTACAAGGCTCTCACCATGTGGCCTAGAAGTGAAATACTACAAGTTGATATTCAGCATCTTGTAATGCCTCCTCAAAGCCTCCCTTATTTTCAGTCAATTTTGGCATTTCGGCTTCTGGGGGCTGGTGTGCATCTGTGTGCTGTGAGAGGAAGGACATAACCCCAGCAGCCTGGAGCAGACGAAGCCCTCTATCCCTTGAGTACATATGGTAAACCTCAGCTGATATTGTGGGTATACTATCACAAGTGCCGGGGGTTAGTCTTTTCAACTACCCTATCCTATTTCAAAATGCTCACTATAATTGTCATCAAAAGTCTATGTTGGGCTTCCCTGGTGGCGCAGTGGTTGAGAGTCCGCCTACCGATGCAGGGGACACAGGTTCGTGCCCCGGTCCGGGAAGATCCCACATGCCATGGAGTGGCTGGGCCCGTGAGCCTGTGCGTCCGGAGCCTGTGCTCCGCAAAGGAGAGGCCACAACAGTGAGAGGCCCGCGTACCACAGGGGGAAAAAAAAAAAGTCTATATCATCAAAGGGGCAATAAATGAGTATTTTAAATTATTTTATGTTAAATAATTTGACATACAAAAAATGAAAAACCCTACTTAGGTTAATCAAAGTTTTTTAATATAGTGCCATATAATCCAGCTTATTAGTCGGATGCTAACTCTAAATTCCAGATAGAGGAGGGAAAAAAGTTCTCCAAATGACAGCAGGTCTATTCTAGGCAGTCTTGTAAAAGAACCCTTAGAGATAATGAAAGTATGTGTTACCTATGACTGAGCTAAAATGGTGCCAAGGCCTGGCAATTCCTTTTTACTGCTGACACATCCCTGTATGGTATAGAACATCAGCATTGCCTCCACGTCAATGGAATAGGGTGTCCCTGTCAATGACATAATTGAATACACTTTGAGAAGGAACAAGGGCTTTCAGGGATGGCTCAGAAACTTGATTGTTTTTCCATTTATTTTTAAAATGCAAATTACACTAGTAAGTCAAAAAAATCACTCTGTTAAAAATACATTCAGAATTAACAAATGCCAAAAAAAAAAAAAGACACAGGATTGTAACTCTTGCCTTCTGAATATTAGATTTATAACAAAAGCTCAGCCTAGAAAAATAGCATTCTTCACCGGATTTTGAGGAGGATACAGCTGTACAACTTAGATGTTTTTCCAGATAGAATCACACTACTGTGCTCCCTGTCCACTGATTCCTTTTTAGTAGTCAACAACTGTTTTTAAAAAATTTGGTGGTGATGATAGTAGTGATTAGATGGTAACTTGGCTGCAACTTAAAGCAGGAATATGAGGGTTTAGTCTCTGTGCATTTAAATCTCTATCCATATACATGTCTTATAAGGTGGAATCTCATCACAGCATGAATGTACGGTGAAACCTCATTTTTAATAGTCACATTAATACTCACATTAGAATAATTTCTGGCATGTATAGTATTTATATTTTAAGAATCAAAGGATGATACATTGGTAAGTATTTTTCTCATACATTAAACATGCATGTCACTATAAAATCATCATATGAGGTTTCACTGACATGTTTGTGATCGTATAATTTTATGCATGTATATATGGACAAACATACAAACCACTGCGAAAATTCAAGCACAAGTGCTGGAACTTTTTTCTGTAGTTTATATTCTAATTGTAACCTTTGTTCCTTTGTTTTCCAATGCGTATATGTGTAGATCACAGACATCCATGCAGACACAGTAATGGGACTGGTTTATGTAGATTTGGATGGGCTAACGTTCAAAGTAGGTTAGCCCAATAACTGAAACTTCTTAGAAACAAGGAGAAAAAGTTGCTCCATGCCAATTTATAACTTTTCAAGTCTGAATTTCACTGCATTTAAGGGTGGTGTATTAGTTCTAAAAAGAAAAAAATTGATTTTAGTGTCTCAGGTGGATCCAAAAAAAATGACTCATCTGAGTTCCTGACAAGCCTGAGCTAATTATGTTTTTCACTAATGAAAACCAAATAATGTTTGGATATATAGAACAAAATTTCCTAGGAATTCAGAATATTCCATAAACACATTGACCTACTATTAAGTTTCCAAAGGCATCTTGTTGCCAACTACATCAACAGCACAGTTTTTCTGCCACAATAATACAGGAGGATTAAAATACACCCTAACACACAACAGATCCCCCAAATACCACAAAGAGATCTCAAATATTTCACCAAGGTAACTATTGCTCCCCCCACCCACCCAAAAAATAATCTCGTACGCTGAAGTTAGGAAAAAAAGTTCACCTACATAGGGGCTTCCGTTTGAATTAGATATAAAAGAGTAAACATAGCTAATACATATTCAGTTGGCCTCTGTTGATAGAAATCCACAGCTGTTTCTGTGTTAGTAAAAGACATTGGTAGATACTTATAAAAGCACCTAGAGTGCAGTAAATAAAATCAGTGAGTTAAGCCGTTTCTGTTCTCTGCTTCCAGTAGATTAATGAGTTTAGTAGATTGATAAGTTTCTCTTTGTCCCACCCAACCCCCTCAGAAGACCTTATTGAGGAATTATAAAGATGACGATTATTACTTTGTTATTATTACTTGTCTTTTTTTGGCCACCATGGAGGCTCAATGGTAAAAGCACTTTGCTGACAGCTGGCAGTTTTTGTACACAGACACACTGCAGTTGCTGAGCTATGCAGTCTTGTTTCTTGACATGACACGCACAGACTTGAACTCATTCGGAATTAATAGCAGTGTGTTAGCCTAAAGGAAGTGACTTGGGGGTGTCTGCACTGAGATTCTCAGGCGCACAACTTAGGTGGGTTAAGGCAAGTATGTAACGGTACAGCCTTTAGGGCAAACAACCTGCCATTTCAGACTTCAGTTACAGGGTCGTCATGCCATGTTTCGTTTGTTTGTTTTTTGCAATTACATTGCCTACATAGCTGTGGTGCTATCAAGACATACGGAGCGCAGAAGACGGCTCTCTAGCTAATGTGCCCTGGATGACTTCGCAGCTGGCAGAGGCCAACTGGCTGGGCTGCAGAGCAGTTAGTGACGGCCAGCAGAGGGCACCAGCACGTCTCCTTATGAACTTTCCAAAGGCCTGGGAGAAAGCAGCCTGCTTTCAGGAAATCCACGATGGGCGTATCCTGCATATCTGTCTGTTTCAGTTAGAAAGAGGAGGCCAAGTAGAATTGGTTGTGTGCCCGTGTGTGCCCGTGTGTGTGTGTGTGTGCCCGTGTGTGTGTGTGTGTGTGTGTGTGTGGTCCCAGTGTACGTGGAGGCTTTATGTTTTGTTAGTATGTATATATATTTAAACTTAGTTGCTTCTTGCTCTTCAAAAAATGCAGGAGGCCACTGCGAAACAAGTTCTTTGAACGGTCCAGGAGCTGATATACTGAAGCCATTTGTATTATTTCGACCTGAGAGAGAGAGAAAAAAGATGTTTTTAATCAAGAGTGAGAGCTCAGCACCTTTTCTCACCTCTCCAAGCACAAGAGTAAACCAAAAAATAAAGAAAAAAAAAAAAAAAAGAAATCCAAAGCCCAAATTGTGCTTTAAATAGACAATTTTCCTCTCCTCAACTTTTTCCGCAGTGCAACCTTTTGGATAGAGAGGCCATTTATGGTAATTTAAAATCCATTTTCTGGGGGCAAATGAATATGTATTGCTGTACAATTAGGCCGCCAAAAAGAATGCAATGTTTTCAAATGTGGTCTGATATAGCATGGAGTATTTTCACATTTATACTGCAGGGAGCCCAAACAGATCTCAACCTGCTTCGGCACTTAGGTCAGTGGTAGTCAAAGCAGTTACTTTGTTAGAAAATCAACCTGTGGGCGTGGGAATGTTTTTGCGCAGCAACTTCATAGCCATTATTTGTTTCAAAGAGTTCTCCAAACTGTAAGAGAAAAATTAATGAAAACTTTTCCCTTTTAGATGGATTATAGATAATCTGAAGAATTACAGGCCAAGAACATTCACCCAACTTAACTTTAAAAAAAGAGGACTGTCTATTCATTGACTACAGGAACTGAAACAAACTGTGAATGGAGGTCAGTTAGGACAGTGTTTTCAAAGCCTTGTCCAGGCTCTGAGCCACAGAAGATTTGCTGGGTATAATGGAAACCCCACAGCTAAAACTGCGCATTGCTTTTAAGCATCTGTTTTCCTTCTAAGGAATGGCTTTTATTTCCAGTTGCTATATAATATGATTGGGGTGCTTAAACTGGCCCATGATGTTCAATTACTCTTATTTTATGAGACTTATTTATGGCAGGTTGACAGGAGAAGGTCTACCCCACAGGACAAAGATACAGGAGATGCTCAGGTCTCTGCCTCCCAGCAGGGGATGAAGTTTATGCTTGAATCAGTTTTGGTTTTTCATGGGATTTTAATAGGCAGCAACTCTCCAGTGATTGTATTTGAGGGCTACACAGTTGAAAAAGTGCTTCATTCAACACCACATATAATGTGAAATCAAAAGGGAATAAAGGAAACGCAGGAAAAGGGGAGGGTGCAGGCATGTATGGAACTATGGCAGCTAAGTTAGTGTGAGGAAGTAAAGATAAGTAAATTTAAAATCAGGGAATGAAATGTCAGAGCAAACTCAACAGTCCACATAAGAATTTGGAAAAAACTAAGCAGTCAGGAAAACCAGTTGATAATTGGGGCTGTGTAAGGAACAAGTTGTGTGACCTTTGTGTTTCTTTTCTTTCATCTAGTTTCCTCACCTGTAAAATAAAATCTTAGTGTTCTAGTACTTGAGGTCTGCTAGAGGATTCTTTGTAGAAGGTATGGTAGTAGTATTTTGACTGGTGATTTATTAAACATTTAACTTATTTCATGAGCAGTGAGACTTGAAAGCTCTTATATAATTTTACTATTCTTAGGCAGTGAGGAGGAAAATAATATTTTTATTACTTTTGGTTCAGCATTTAAAGTACTTAACAAAATCACGAGAAGTTTTGTCTTCAAGGAATTTTGTTCCGGACATTAAATTTGAAGAGTCCTCTATTTAAAGACAACATTGGAATTATAAATGCCTGGTTTGAAACTATAGTCTTGACTATATATAATCAGCATTCTCATGTTATTATCAGAGCTGATCCTTACAGAGTGGTTACATCTAATTTATTATATTTTGATCATATTTATTGATCATTCATATTGACCAACACAATGTAATATTATATGATAAGAATGTTGTGTGATATTGTCAGAAGCAAGAAATTGCAGGACTTGTAGATGTTCTGGTCTACTCTTTTTGGCTCCGGACGCGCAGGCTCAGCGGCCATGGCTCACGGGCCCAGCCGCTCCGCGGCATGTGGGATCTTCCCGGACCGGGGCACGAACCCGCGTCCCCTGCATCAGCAGGCGGACTCCCAACCACTGCGCCACCAGGGAAGCCCTCTGGTCTACTCTTGAGCACAAACATATTGTTACATGTTACTTGGGCTGATATATGTGATATATTGTTTACAGAGGAAACCTTTTGGGAATGAAATACAGTGTATGGTGATTTCTGAGTTGATAAAATCTTTTCATGAGTAATATTGGTTAACATAAGCATTATTACTACATCTAATAAATTATGTTTATTAAACATGTAGTTTGTGACGTGTCCTATGTTGTACATGCTCTACAAGCATTGTTTTATGTAAATTCAGAACAACTATATGAAGTGCATATGCTGTTGTCTCTATTTTGCAGGTGAGGAAACTTAGGCTTGGTGAGAATAAAGTTATTCAAATAAAGTTATAGGTCCAAGGTCATAAAGAACTTTATCTCATGCAGTCTGGCTTCAGTAGCTCGTCTTAACCACTACTCCTTACCACTGCTCCTTACTGCTCTGACTTTATTTTTTAATAGAACACTTTACACAAGGCTATGTTACAATATTGAGAAGAATGGTAAAGAATGTAAAGGATTTATCATTTTATTTTTTGCTTAAGCTATCAAATCTTTCTGGGAGGATAGGAATGTTACGGTATAAATAGAAATACAACTATAGTATGGGGCAAAACAAAAAGAAATATCAAAGGAAAAAGATTAAGAAATGTTTCATAAAGGAAGTATATTTTAAGATACAATTTGAAGGAGAGTGGGATTTGAAAGAGTGGAATTTGGGGGAAAACAAACAACATTTGGTGTCAAGAGAACAGCATGGACAATTGGAAAAATACATGTCCTATTTGCAGATGGTAAGAGTTTTAGTTTGACTGTGAAAAAAAAAAAAAAAAAAGAAGGAAAAAGGATAAGGGGAGATATCAGACTATGTGTGCCCTCAATAGATGATAAGCTTCAGGAAGCAGAGGCCAGCTCTTATTTATCATTACATTTTCCTGGGGTCTCCCAGCATTGTCTGCATATGGTTGAGACTATTAAAGGTTGAAGAGGAGAGATAATATTTCAATAGAACACTGGGGCCAGATCAGAGTAGATTTGCAAAGTCTGATACGGAGTTTCAACTTTGTTCAGTAGGCAATAAGGAGTCATTGATAGGTTTTGGGCAGGGGCCTAACATAATCAGAGTGGTCTTTAAGAAGATTAATTTGGCAGTCACATGGAAGGTGGGATAGGAGTTCTAAAATAAGAAAGAGACTGGAAAACTTCAGTTAATGATTGCCTGAATTAGGGCAGTGGTTTTGGGAATGTAAAAGAGGGGATGTGTGATGTCCTGTTTACAGAAGGGATGCTTTGAATGACATAGAGTATTGGCTGATTTCTGAATTCGATAAAGTTTTTTTATGAGTGGTGTTACCAAATGCTTTTGGGAAACTACAAGAGACACACACACAAAATGCAGGCATGATGCATAGATCATTCCCTTTGTAAAGAAAAGCTTAAAAGGGGATGTATAAGGATTACTTTAATCTCTCTGGAGGAGAAATAATCCAAAAACTGTATTTATTATCCTACACACTAACAATATTAAAAGGTAAAATGATTCAATGGTGGAGGACAACGACGACAAACACATATCTTCAAAGAGAGAAGCTCACATTTCGAAATGAATTGGAATCTTACTTTCTATTTTGATCTTCGCTTGCAATTCAGCATATCACTTGATGCTGATATATAGAATTTGTTATCAGTTGTTATCCAAGGGAATTTGCCTAAACACAGATATAAAAATCAGGCTCTGATTGTATGTCTGCTCTCTTGAGTGCTAGAGTTAAGGGTCTGATAAGTTTCAGTGTTAATATTCTGGTTTCATTTTCACTTTTCACACCAGAAATATGAAAGAGTATTATTATTTTCTAACACTACACATAATTAAGGTGATAACCTATCATTTATCATCCAAATGAGAACACTTTTAAGACTAATAGGGTGTGCTGGTAATAATTATATCAGGACAACCCATGTAAACTAAGACTGTACTGGGAAAACCAGGATATATGGCTTATATATAGTTACATATAACTACCTACAATGTTATATCATTTTCAAAATATACAAATTTTGGGTAATTCAAAGAAGTTGTATATTATATTGGATTTTTAGCCATGTAGTTGATACTTATATAAGCCTACTTTTAAAAGTAACTTTAGAGATAGCTTTCCTGATAAGTTAAATTTTAAAAAATTTATTAGAATTATCTCAGTCAGAACAATATTAATAGAAGAGAAAATACTGAAAGTAAATGACTGAAGGAAAGCTGCATGCCATCTATTTTGTGCCACAATAACATTTTCTTAATCATCTTTTAGTATCCCAGAAGAATACCTCCAAATTAAAGTACTTACATGTACATAGGCTGTAGCTGTAAATGAGATGTCTTCTGAGGCCCCTGATAGCCATAAGAGTCAAAGCCACCTATGAAATCAACTGAAAGGGACAATCGCCTTAATTAGTTAACTTTTCAGAAGAGATAAACGTTCACGATCAAGGTCTCACACAGATTACTAATATAAACCTTTTAATAATCTATTAAACCAGAACTAGCTAATTGTGGAGGAAAAAAGATAGTTCCTTCAAGGCAGTGATTTTTTTTCCCCCCCTCAACTGTGAGATTCAGTTATTGCTTTACAAGAATCTATTCACTTGGGAGAAGAAATTTATATACTCCTTTGAAGCAACCAAGACCTAATTGGAGCAATAAAATTCACTTGCACAATTAAGATGCTATATGTCTTTTTGGTTAGCATGGAGATTTTCTGCAACACATAACAAATGTAAAAAATAATGATCGCTCAAGTGCATGTACCTATCAGCAATTGCGGCACTAGTAATAGTGTTATATCCTATGATTGTCAAGTACAAGGTGTGATGGTGGAGGTCATGTAAATTAGCTCAAAATGGCTGTCCCTGCCATTATGTGGTTCATAATCTCAAACAGACAATCAGAAATAAAGTTATGTGCAGCAAACTCTAACCAAACATTCAAATGCAATACATACCTAGGTATTTAAGGTACAATGAGATGTAACAAGAGTTACTGTGGTAGATTATATTATCCAAAATAGCTGCAACAATATCTCCTATTCCATATCTGCCTGCAGTGTGACCTTGACACTCACCCCATCCTGAGGTTTGGGTCTTTGTCCCTTCCTCTTGAACCTGGGTAGAACTTTGTGGCCACTTTGACCAGTAGAGTATGGTAGAAGTGACATTTTGTGACTTCCAAGGCTAGATCAAAAAAATGTCATGCACTTTGCTCTTTAGGGATGCTCTCTTTTGGAACACAGCCATCATGCCCAAACTAGGAATCCCAAACTAACGCACCTGGAGAGATCAATGGAGGACCCTCGGATGTGATTTTGGCTGACGGGCTAGCTAAGGTCCTAGCTGATAGTCACCATCAACACCCAGACATGTGAGAAAAATTGCCTCCAAATGATTCCAGCCCCAAGCTGTTGAGTCAACCCAATCTTGGAGTCTCCCAGCTGAGGGCCCTGACATCGGGGATCAGAAACAAGCTATCCTCACTGTGCCCTGTCTGGATTCTTAACCCACAGATCCATGAGCATAATAATGGTTGTTTTATACCACTACATTTTGGAAGGGGTAGTAACTGGGACAGTAAATACTAAGAGTGCTGTGAAAATGTTTTGGTTTTGTTTTTTCTTTCCCATTCCTGGATGTGGAGGTCATGTGGTGGGGCAAAAAGAGGCAAAACAACAAAAAGCTGACAAGATAGATGACTGGAAGAAGAAAGAGAGGAAACTAGAAACTGCATGAGGGTGCTAGAGGATATCTTTACTTTTTCTAATATCTTTTTCTATTGGCTTAGCTTTGACTAGTTTTTGTTCTTTTTAATATCCTAAGTGTTACAGGTAGAAATTGGAGCAAGTAACATAAAGTCCATGATGTCTGGGGAAATCTTTTCATTTTTTTAAAATAGATTTTATTTTTTAGAGCAGTTTTAGGTTCACAGCAAAATTGAGAAGAAAATACCAAGAGTTGCTATATACCCCCTCCTGCCCCCACCCCGCCCAGCACATGCACAACCTCCCCTACTGTCAACATCCCAACCAGCGTGGTGCATTTTTTATGGCTGATAAACCTATACTGACATATTGTTACCACCTAAAGTCCAGAGTTTGTATTATGGTTCACTTCTGGCGAAGTGATGTAATGACATGTATCCACGATGTTAGTATCATACAGAATAGTTTCACTGCCCTAAAAGTCCTGTGTTCTGCCTTTTTATCCCTCCCTCTCCCCTAATCTCTAGCAACCACTGATCTTTTTACTGTCTCCATAGTTTTGCCTTTTCCAGAATGTCATAGAGTTGGACTCCTATAGTATCTAGCCTTTTCTGATTGGCTTCTTTCACTTATTAATATGCTTTCAAGGTGCCTCCGTGTCTTCTTATGATTTAATATCTCTTTTTATCATGAAAACCCTTTTATTGAGGCAGAATTTCTCTTCTGGTCAGAAGTGGAATAGTACAGCAGTCCCCCTTATCTGCGGGGATACAGTCCAAGACCCTTAGTGGATGCTTGAACCGTGAATAGTACTGAGCCCTATATATACACAATACTATTTTTTTTTTCCTATACTAATGGATGGGTAGCATACACAGCATGAATATGCTGGACAAAGGGATGATTTATGTTACTGGAGGGACAGAGCAGGATGGTGTGAGATTTCATCACCACTACTCAGAATGGCTCACGATTTAAAACTTATGAATTGTTTATTCTGTTTAATCTTTTCAGACTGTAGTTGACAGCAGGTAATTGAAACCATGGAAAGTGCAACTACAGATAAGGAGGACTACAGTGTAATGAAAAGGACAGAGATCCTGATGTTAGAAGGATCAGGGTTCAAATGCTGCTTTGACCACTTGCCAGCTGTGTGACCTTAGACAAATCACTTAACTTCTCTTACACAAGAATTATAATACTTAATACTATTAGTGTGAGGATAAAATAAGGAACGTAGAGCCCTGGGTGAGACATGTGGTATGGAAGAAGAAAATTAAAAGCCCTTAAAAATTCAGGATTTTCTTCATAATTCTTCTAAACCATGCAGTTTAGGAGAAAGAAAGTGTTTTAATTTGGAACAACTGTAGAACTATATCAAATATTTTATAGAAGATGACTTCAAAGAGAGCGAACCTCTTTTGTTTTCTGAATTGCCCACGTCTGCACATTAGCTAATATAAATGGTACCAGAAGAGCTGTACAATAATTGAATGGCAACTATATTTAAAGTTTGTATTTTGAGAAATTATTTTCTACGATTGGGGATTCATTGCAGATAGTGCCTAAATTCCTGTTCATTTGGGTTCACTTTTTTTTTTTTTTTTTTTTGCGGCACGCGGGCCTGTCACTGTTGTGGCCTCTCCCGTTGCAGAGCACAGGCTCCGGACGCGCAGGCTCAGCGGCCATGGCTCACGGGCCCAGCCGCTCCGCGGCATGTGGGGTCCTCCCGGACCGGGGCACGAACCCATGTCCCCCGCATCGGCAGGCGGTCTCTCAACCACTGCGCCACCAGGGAACCCGGGAACCCCTGGGTTCACTCTTACCAACATTAAGACTTAAGGACTAGTTTTCTGAGAGGCATTCAAGCATTAAAGTTTCCTTGTTCTGAGGTTCCTTGTTAGTAAGATGGCCCCACCCTGGTGCTGGAGAAGAGAGTGGGCAGATGTAAACAGTAAGGTCTCCTCCACTGAAACCGAGATCCAAGTCAATCTCAGGCTTATTAGTGTTTTTATTGTTGTTTTGAAATATTTCCTTAGCTTGATTCCAGAGGTGTGAGATGGATGGCAGAAAAAAACAGATGGTAATTTATAAGTCAGAGACTGTGCAGTGAGCCAAGGGATAACCGGAAAAAACCAAGATGAATCTTCAAGTCCAAAGGATAGAATTGGGACCAAAACTGGGAAACAAAGCTTGAGTCAGGAGCAGTGTAGACCTTCTGGAGACATGAGAAAAGGCCAGAAGGGAAATGAGATGTGTCTGAGTACTGTTGCGAATGGAGGTTGAGTTGTCTGGGTCTTGCTTTTATTAGCCATCTATCTGATGTGTGGGTTGATAGAGCCGATTTACAACTACCCAACTGGGGAGGATAGTGCTAAAGTTTTGACAGGATTGCGATTGTTCTGATCATTCACATCATCTGGGGTCATGGAAAAGGATGCAACAGCAGATGACTCAGAACCAAGATGAGAAAAGAAGAGGATCTGAATGTAACCAGGATGCATTTTTACCATCTCACTTGTGAGGGGGCATTCAAATTTAAATCAGAATCAAAGGATGTATTTTCTGTAGTGTATTTTATATACCTGTCTGTGTTCACAGCCAAAGAATTTATGTAAGGTCAGTTTCCACATGTGCTCATCCTCAGTAATTGGATGTCTTCCTAAAGACCTGAAGGAGAGGAGTATTAATAAGCTGGATCCAACTCACCACTAGAGTTAAGAGTGTGGTGGTCAGTGTAGGTAGACATGGTTCTCCGTATCTTTTACAGAATGGTGTTTCACCCATAATTTGGAACTCTTTGGGGTGCCATGTGGGTGGAGAGCATAGTAGAAGAAATTATGTTTTTCTCTCTTAAAATTGAATTACTGGGGCTAGCTTACATTTTTAGAATATCCTCAATACCACTTTGGTCTGTTTTCTGTTTCTTTTATATAATTACATTTATTTAGGCTCTAAAGAGGCTACTGAATATTGTAAAACTTTCCTAAGCAATAGGAGTCATGAAACAGCTAGCAGGTACTTCTCCAGGTAATTGTGGTGGCATCTAGATGTTTGGCTCATAGCTCAAATTTGTTGTCTAGGAGGATGCTGCAGCCTTTAATGGAACGAAAAGAATGAGAGGAGGGAGTTGGTGTTTGGCTTCATTAGGAAATGTAGTATGTAAGTTATATGTGGCACGTACAAGCAGCAAGGACCAGGAAACACTTGGGAAAAGGGAAATGTAATTGTAATTGGTGCAAGGCAGATTAGGGACTTGCTGGGATTTTAGAGGTTAATTTCTTTTTCCTCATTCAGCTTTATTGTGCTTTATTGAAAACTATCTCCAGCTGACATATTGTGAATCTACCTTTCTGTTGTTGATCCTATCACTATAATTTAAGCTGCATGAGATTTACTATTTACTACAGTAGCCCCAGAACCCAGAGCAGTGTCTGGCTCATGGAAGCCATATTTACTGAATAAACTCTTCAGGCTGTTGTTGTTGTTTTTAAAGACAATTGATTTAAGCATGGAAGATGCTGGTAAAATTTCTAAGTGAAATTTGACTGAGTGCATTTACCCTTTCCTTCATAAGGTCTTGAATAATAATAAAGAGAGGACCATTTATAGAAGATCTAGAATGTCAGTGATTGCTTGGGTCCTGTGAGATAAAAGAAATCTTTTGGATACCAATGG